ACTTCGCCACCCAGAACCCCCCAGCCAGCGAATGCTGGCTGGGGCATTCTGCGAGTTGAAGTCCGGACATCTTCAAGTTGCCAAGGTTGAGAAACACTGGAATAGATAACCTAAGCGGCGAACCCGTCGGTCTTGACGGGTGGGTAGCGCTGGATTCTTAGTTTCCCTTCCCGTCGTCGGCTGTGGAGGCTCTGGGTAACCCGGAACACTAGTTGAGAGGGGGGATGATTTGAAGAGAGCAGAACATGGTTTGTTGTCATATTCTTATTTTAGTCTAAGAAACGGTCTGGTTCAATTTTTTTTTTAAATTAATGTCCAGCCTTACTTTTCTAATGGTAAATGTATGGCTTTGTTTTGTAAGTCCTTGGCCTGTGAGCACAGTTGAGCCCAAAATTTATGTTGCTAAGTGAGACAGTTAAGTGGGTTTTGGCCCAATTTACGCCCTTTCTTGCCACCCTTGTTAAGTGAACCACTGCAGCAGTTAAGGTAGTTAAGTAACACAGTTGTTAAGGGAATCTGGCTTCCCCATGGACTTTGCTTGTCAGAAGGTCACAAAAATTGATCACATGACCCCCCCCCCCCCACTACAACCATCATAACTATGAGTAAGTTGCCAAACATCTGCATTTTGATAATGTGACCATAGGGATGCTGCAATAGTTACAAGTGTGAGAACCAGTCATAAATTACTTTTTTCAGACCTGTCGTAACTTCAGAAGGTCACTAAATGAACTGTTACAAGTTGAGGACTACCTGTATTTATTTCTGAAGTTCCCTTCCTATAATGCACAATACCTGATCTTTTTTGGGTGATAGATTCTGTCACTTGAATGAATGACAAAAACTGCCCATTCGGAGGAGTTGTTAATCCCTATTTCTGCCACATCCAATTGGGTGACTACAGGAAAGGCAAAGCCCAACAGATTTGACTTTTAATGAAAGGATGAAATAGTCTTGTTTCCTTTCCTAGTGGAATTTACCTTGATTTTCCAGTGAAGTGGTTTGAGTACCTCCCACCCCACAAATTTATCAACAGTAGCAGTCTTTCTGATGCCACATGACTATGTTTTTGCTACATACACTAACAATTGTCCCTTATTAGCACAATACTGTAGAAAGATAACACGTGCAATGTTTATCTCCGATGTATTGCTCTTACATGACAAATGTCATAATTGCTTTCATTTTGACTCTACCTTAAAATAGTTAAGAGAATAAGCGGAACAGTTTCAAACCATTTTAAAATAGATTATTTACAACTGCAGTTTCTCTTTTTGTAATTATAGGAAAATGGACGTTGTATTACAAAATTGGAAAACATGGGGTTTAGAGTAGGACAAGGATTAATAGAAAGGTGAGTGCAATGTTTATTTTGTCTTTTGACTATTTTCTTTCTTTTTTTTTACAATGGGGTTATGGTGCCAGACTCAAATGCTATTTCTCCAACCCCCCTTTTTTAGTCCTTGGACCACCTTGGGTAAAAATGTAACTGTTTTTATCTATTTGGAATGAGAAATAGCTGAAACTAGTGCAATGCCTAAAATAGGTAATACACACTAAGAATAAAATGTTGGGGCTCTTGCTGACATTATCCAGTTTATAGTCCTGTGATCTTCAAAAATTATTAAGGGTGGCTATTGGCCATGGCCTTCTTATTTTAAAGGACCGGAGTTGGTAAAACACTAAAGCTAGATCTTGTATTGCCAGTAAGGAAGAAAATGATTGGGATTGGTGTTTTTATAATTGTAGAATACATAAGTTGTTGTATTTTATAATTAATGTCAAGGAAACAGAAAAAAAAAGCTCCCATTGCTGTTATTTAACTTTAAGAGAGAAAGTTGGTAAATAAAATGCAAAAAGATAATTTCATATTGTATGCATTATAATTTAGTGGTTGCAATAGCAATAAAGCTGCATTTTTTCAATATAGCCCATGGAGTTCTCTATATTCCTCATGCAGAATATATATTCAGTCATTTTTTTCATCCATCTCCTGTTATAAAATCTGTTGGTGTATTTAAGCTTTGATTGGAATGTGCACATTTTTTTAACTGATTGTAAAAAGCTAAGTGTTTGTATTATCCTATATGAAGATGACGAAGTGCTGCTGCTATTTGTGTTGCTTTCTCTTAGGTTCACAAAAGATACTGCCCGATTCAAAGATGAATTAGATATAATGAAGTTTATTTGCAAAGATTTTTGGACTACTGTATTTAAAAAACAAATTGATAATCTCAGGACCAACCATCAGGTATTGTAAGAATGAATAATGGCTTGTAGAACAAGAGTCAAACTATATTCTATTGCTCCTCTATTCTGTTCTTTTTCAGACATTTCAATTCAGTGCATAGATAAATGGATGTTATGAGCGAGCAATATGTACATAGGAGTCAAGTTTATTTTTATAACAATGCAATTATTTTTCTCCTTGATGAGTGTCCACAGTATTTATAGTCTTGAATAATATTTGTCTACACTTTCATTGTAATCTTAAAAAACATTAATAAAAATTTATAGTGAAAATTGTTGAATATAAAAATTATTCTGGAATTATGAATTTTACTATGGTCAAGTTAATAATTTTAAGGATAAGTTGATGATACATTAGAGCATAATCCACTGACTTCTGCTGTTTACATTTCCTCTGTACTCAAAAGAAATTTCCACATTTCTGTGAATCTAGGATGTATTCCAATTCTGCTAAATACATATAGATGCATAGCAAATCACTTGATAACATGCTACTAAAAATTTAAATCAGCTAACAATCCCCTTCCCATAAAACATTGATTTGAAGATTTTAAGTAATAATGGAAACTCTCTTTGTCTTTCTAGTCATGCTAATAAAGTCATAAATGCAAATTACTGCTTCATTTGTCATATCTAGATCTCAGTTTGCTTGTATACACTAGTGCAATGTATATATTCTGCTTTTCAAATACATCTCTTAGGTCATGTCCGATTACTAGTTGTCTTTCTATGCCTTTGTTACCTTTTATTAAATCCCTACTTCTCAAATTGAGCCATTCTATCATCTTTAGCTACCTGAAGACTTTAAATTAAAAAAAAAAAACATTTGTCTTTTTCTTTAATCACTGATTTGATTCTCCTATATTTTTTGAAACATGAATCCAGTTGGACTAAAAAAAACCTGAGAACTAGGCACTGACGGATTAATTTTTAAAGGTTGAAATTATTGTAAGTTGATTGAGGATAAAAGGACTATAATTATAATAGCAAAATTGCTAATGCATCCCTAAGGAAAAATGTACAAACATTAATTTGGCTATATATGGGTAATCTTAACTAACTATATTGATTTGTGGATTAGCTTTCTAATAAATGTAACATTAAAATAAATAGGATATAAATGTATTAAATAAAATTTAAAGTGGAAAATGTTCGTTTCTGCAGGGTATCTATGTACTTCAGGATAACAAATTTCGTCTTTTGACTCAAATGTCTGCAGGAAAGCAATATTTGGAACATGCCCCTAAGGTATATGTATTGTATTATAGTCAAAATAGATTTAAAATATCAATTCTTTAATGGATTGTTATTAAGCCATCTGTGTCTGCAAGTACGAAGGAAAATACAATTGTGGTTTTCTGCTCCATCCCTTTCTATTGTGCACATGTTGCATGTTATGTATATTAGGCATAATATGCATAATATGCAACCTGTGTTTTAGGCCTTATATGCATACTGTGCTGATTTGTCTGAATATATGAGGCGCTAAAGCCTGGTAAAGTGAGGAACTCTATGGTGCCTGCCAGTCTTTTCACATCCAGTTGAGGAAGAGTTCTGTTTTTATTCAATGGAATGTGAGTAGAAATCTCTCCAGACTTTGCTATAGAGTATTGCAAAATCTAAAAGCGAGGCATAGGGCCAAATGTGGGAAGGGCATAGGATATTGTGCTAGCATGTGCAGTCCAATAATTCTACTTAGGTTAAAGTGATATTTTTACCTTTGAATAATATAACCACCATACTGTTGTTTTTAATTTGTGAGACTTGTGTGAAATTTGGAAGCTAAATATTGGATGGGAAACACATATCTATAAAAAATTAAGCACATCTAGCAATTAGATATGCATCTTTGTTACCAATATTATAAGACAAAAGAGATTTTTGGTTCTCTTTAGAGACTCTTTATCATCACTCCTTTTTCTTTGGAACTGCATTCAATCTATTTTGAAAAGGATCTTAAGTAGAACATGAACAATTAAAATATCTTATTTTGTTATTGGAAAAAGAGCCAAATGGCCTTTGCCATTCAACATGGGTATGCTGATTCCAATCTCCTACATACCCTGGCTATTGTTTTCCCTATTCTGAAAATCTTTAAGGTAGACAATAGTACTGTGTTTCCCTGAAAATAAGACCTAACCAGAAAATAAGTCCTAGCTTATATGTATTTAAAAATTATATATTTAAATGAAGTCTGAAACAAAAGCAAATATAATTGAAAGTGCCTCTCCCCAACTTTCACCTCATTGATTCATTAATCGTTTGAAATTTGGTGCAAGCTTCTTCCTTTCCAGGCTAGAAAAATAAGTTTGTATTTTCTCAGTATAAGTTTTATAAATTACAGTACTGTATTTTAAGATTAGAGTTTTACCATGAATATTCTGCCTTGATATATCTTGCAGTATTTGGCATTTACATGTGGACTAATTAGAGGCGCTTTATCAAATTTGGGAATAAAGAGTATTGTGACAGCTGAAGTTTCAACAATGCCTGCATGTAAGTATGTGTTGTATTAGCAGAATAAATCTGCTCTCTTATGTGTAATTGTAAGATGAAATAAGTGAAATTACAAAACAGTTGCTTTGAAAATACTGATACTAGAACCGAAAAGTATACTGTACCTTAATGTAAAATTAGTAAGATGCCTAAGAAATAAGGTAACAGTAATTACTGGCAGTAGTGTCCAGCTAAAATTGTCAAGTTGAACAGGACACCTGCTCAATTCACAAATCTTTTCTAAATGTCTGGAGAGAGTTTTTCTCTACATGTGGTACAAAGCCGCATAGAGTATATTTGTAGCACCAGGAATCAGAGCTATTTAGCTCTTAGTTCTCTTCTAGCTTCCACAATTATGGTAGTTTCTTTGTTTGACAACTGTATGAAAATACAGAGTGCTGAATTATGTTCAAATTTAGATAGGAAAAAATAGGATTTTCAGAATGTGAAAGTAATCCATTGAAGAGGAAACAGATTGTAGTCTCATACTTTAATTAATTCCAGATTAGTTCTACTCATCAAGGAAGTGAACAGATTGCATTGTAAAATATAAATTGAAATGCTTGAACCTGAATATTAGTAGAATTTATAGAAGTACATAAGATTGTTCCTGATAAAACAAATATTCCTTAACATTTTTTTTGTTTGCAGGTAAATTTCAGGTGATGATACAGAAGATGTAAATATAAAATTCATTCTGTTGCTCTGTAAAATGGCAAAATGATCTGTATTTTATTTATAAAGCACATGAAGCTATCCTTTATTGTATTATTTATCAAATACATTTTTTCTAGAAGTGATTAAGTGCAATTTTTCATAATTTGCTGGTAGATTTTAAATTATTTGTGGCCATGAACATGAATTTTCATGTTTGTAAGGATCAATAAATTATCATAAATAAATGCTAAGCTGTAGTATAGCCAAATCCTATACAATTTCAATTTTTCAGTGTTGAAATGGGTAAGGGCCATAGAGTTGAGAATGGTACTTCTGCTTTTCAGTCCCAGAAAGGTAGTTTGGGTATATTCCATAGACAATAAAATTGCTTCAAATGATCTTGCATAGTTTTTAAAATAATGCACTTGCTTGAACTGGGTAGTTATTGTTCCAAATCATATTTAATGGGTAGATATATAAGGTGTTGTCTGCTAACTATTCAGGTAATACTGATAAGTCTCATGCATTGCTAGATTTTACATTTTGATTTATGAGATTTTTTTATAAGGTTGAGACTTCAAATAAGAATATCAAATTAATGGTTTTGACATATTGGAATTAAAAAGTGAAGTGGCAGCAGGCCAATGGGCATGCCCGAGTTCTATTTAGAAATCTTGCTTATCAAACTGAAATTGATAGTACAAGGAGACCAATAAGTATTGGAAGGTAGAATGATCAAAGATCTTATATTTATTTTGATCATAACCAAATGAATCTCTTAGAAACAGTTGCATAGACATTGATTTGGATTGGCTAAGGATTTGACATAATGGTCAGAATCTAGCATAAATGTTAGCAAGAGTCATATTGTTCATTCTAATCTGTTTCTAATCATATGAAAAAGGTTATTGCAATCGTTGGTGTACAATTTGCAGATTCCTGCTCAAAGAATAGGTGGCTAGGAGATCCTAGATAGATTATAATGGAATGTCAATTGCATCCTTTCCTGGACTGGAAGGAAATTTGCTCATTTACTCAAGACTTGGTTACCAGTTGTTTGGATTACTGCAGTATATTTACATCTACTGACCCTATCAGATCAGAAAGGGTGGGAAACTCCTACACTGCAGTCTTCTGGCATCTAGAAAGCATGCCTTTTCTGTGAAACTCCTTTATCCAATAGGTGTTTTTCAAAAGGCAACTGTGGACTGTTTTTCCTTGAATACATTTTGCTCCTCATCCAACAAGCTGCTTCTGTTCTGAAGAATTGAGGAAACAAACTGAAGAAGCTTATTGGCTGAGAAACAAAACATCTTCAAGGATAAACAAAGTCCAGTTGCCTTTTGAAAGAGCATCTTTCAGACAACTATGACCTGGATGATTGAGAATCTCCAGACACCTTGAAGTCTGGTAGGCCTTTACCCTTCTAGGCTTCTGTAAAGTATGCAAGAACTGGCTTTCCCAAGTGGGATAGGATGAGGTGGATTAGATGATTTAACATGGATGTTGGGACCTTGAGCTTGTTGCCAGGTTTTTAATATTTTTAGTTTAAAGTATTATGCTGTTATATTGTTTTAATTGATTGGGAGCAGCCCAGAGTTCTATAAAAGATTGGTGGCTGTATATAGTAAATGTTTTAAATAAACACATAGATTAGGATTGAATTAAGGAGTCCTTGTGCTCTCTGATGTTACCTAGCTGGGTAAACATCTGTAGGCAAACAACCAAGCTCAGAGAATACCAAGGATCAGGTTTTGCCACAATTCCACATATAGAATTAATATTTCATTTTATCAATCTATTATTCAAAGGAAATTCATTCTTTTAAAAAGAAGATCTACAGTATAGGTCAGCTTGGTATCACATGACTGGATTTACGGAAGAATCAAATCAGATGGGAACACCTGAGTAAATTTTGCTGTTCTTAGAAGTTAAGCAGGTTTGTACCCTTGTTCAAACTTGAAGGAGAAACCAATAAGAAACCCAGAGCTTTACGGTAGACTGGACAATCTGAAGAAAGGCAATGACAAACTATTTCCATAGTGTTTCCAAGAGAACAATGGATGCATTGTCTTAATTAAGACCATATTTTAAAGTCTTCATGTTTATACTTAAATGTTTTTAAAATGTTATTGTTCAACATAAATAGCCTTTTTGATTAGTTTGCTTTACTTCTGTTGGGTTTTGATAAGATAGACCTTTATTGCTTCATTATATAGTACCTCAAATAAAGACACACACACAGTTTGTACGTAGATCAAACAAGCTGAATTATGGACAATAATTTGTAAGAAAATATTT